ACATCTAGGATAATTATTAGAGAGATGATGGAACCCAGTGAAGAACGTGGGTGTTTCGGAGGAATAGGTGGTACGCTAGGCGCGCTGGAGTAACTAGGTGAGGAACTAACAAGACTTGTGTGCGCGGTGAGGATATTCGGCGGGCGGGTGGTGATGAATCTGGCAGTGACCTCTTCCGAAGGGTAAACCGGAGGTGGTGGAGGTAGCAGGTTTTCGGGGTATGGCGGTGGATCTCGTAACATCCCCTCATCGAAAGCAGCAGGATATGGAGGTGGTGGGGGTCTGGCACGCGGTTCAATCGAATCAATACGCTTGGGTGGTATAGGAATGTAACCCTGATAAGTTGATGGTAAGGTAACATAGTCAGAATCTGAATCTAGAGTATTGCTCACGGATTTGCAGGAAGGATACCTGCCGACGATCAAATCAGACAGTTCCTCAGCGGAGAGTAGTGTATGTTGATTGTCGGTAGGGTCGCTGCCATCGCCACGGAATGAACCTGAATTGCTCACATTGGAATTTGAACGATTTCGATAGCCGTCAACTTGATCTTCTTCCAGAGGTATGGCACCTAAGGTACTATATTCTTCGCTGGGTGTTGTGTACTGCTCGCTGGAGCTGAGTGTGTACACGCCGCTGGTGTGACTACTCGGTGCAGGGCCTGAGGTGTAGACAGGTTCGCGTAAATCCTGATCGGTGCATGTTGAATCGCTTACAACTGAGTTTTGCGCTGTGTGTGAGTACCCTAATTCTAGACTGCTACTAGTAGAGGGTCTCCGTTTACTTTCTGTCAAAAATAACAAGCAGGGTGAGTAAATATTAAAAGAATTGTTTTTGTTTAGCTTACTTGGAAGAATAACAGACGTGGAAACAACAACAGTGCTACACGAACTACTACATTGTGATCCAGTGAATTTCCCAGGTTTACCCGCACTGCTTTCGCTGGGAACTTCTTCATCCTTCAAGCTCAAGGTCGCCAACGCGCCAACTGCAGATGCATTCGATGTACGTGAACTTGCAGGACCGCTATCCAATAGATGCGCGATCGCTAGACTTTCGGTAGATGGCGCTGGTGGACTTGTGATCATAATTTCCAATTCATCCTCACTGTGTACACGATCGCTGACTATTCCAGACGTGGTGTTGGACGATGTGCTTGATATCACCGAAATCCGCTGATCGCAGTCCCATCGCTGCATCTCCTCCTCTTCTTTCTTCGCTTCGGTGAGTCGTGGCGCAACCGCCATGCTGAATTGATGCGCTGCTTTACACAACGACAACAGAAGTCGGCTCTTCTCATCGCTGCTTGTGTACAATGTAAGTTTTTCATGCCCGGTGCGAATCTCGAATTTTTTACGCTCGAAGCTGAGCTTCCCAATGGAGCTCCATAGGAACAATGAGGGTGGGTTGTTGTCGGGGCAGACGCGTAGGCCGCGTGGGCACACCGCAAGCAAGAGCCCGCCGGGTGCAGGCTCATGCTTTGAAGCGCGCAGCTGGAAGACATGCGCATTCACCGCCGCTTCCAACTTGCATGCTTCGGCGATAAAACGCGCACGCGCCTCCATCTTGCATACATTTCGCAAGCCGCGATGCGCGTTTTCGAGGGCGCGCAGCACAGCGGGCTCTCGCATACCGCTAGGCACGTAGTCCTCAGGGCGGAAGGCAGCGGCGTCGGCGCCATGGTCACCAAAGTCTGCTTGCAACGCCAAACTGCCGAGTCGGATTGAATGTTCGCCGGCGGCCGCAGTAGAGGCGGCATTAAGCCGCAGCTGCAGGTAGTAATGTTGGCGCGTCGTCTCGTCGCGCAGCAGGAGAGGGCTGTCGACGTAGAATTGCACACGGAAGTAGAACGCCAACGCCGGCCGCCCGTTCGCGTCCAGGCCATGGCTATGCGACGAACGCCAGGATTTCGGCGCATATTTCGATAGCTTGCTATCGGGTTCGGCAAACAAATATTCGCCATCTGTAAGTAAATAGCGGAAATGGAGTGAATGGTTATTTATTTAGGTGTGTGCGCGCGCGCGAAAGAGTTTAAAAGTCTCGAATAGTTATATCAAACGATTGGCCGAAGTCGAAACGCGCCAGCAGTAATAAACCGGAGTGTACCCGTCGGCGAGGAATGCTGTCCTGGCGCTGCAACATTCCACGCCGAGTGCCTAGCGCGGCGCGCGCGCGACCTCGCTCGATCTTTGTCTCGCGCCTGTCGCGCCTCACCTTCTTCTCTCCACGGTGAAAAAGATCAAATCCACATCGCATATAAGGGGATAACTCGCTTGCGACCGAATATCCTTTCCCTGCGTGACACGAGCCGTCGAAAGGTGGACGGAAACCGGGAATTCGTGCATTCTCGATGCCTGCGCGGCATGCCGATCCGACATTCCATTACGATCCTGATTTAAAACAATTCCTCGAACGAAAATAATAATAAAGAGAAGATGCGAGAGAAGAAACTACTCGCCGCGATGATTATGATTCCGTGGCGTGGATGTGGAATTTAGTAGCATCATCAGGTCATCCGAGGCCCGTAAAATTACGGACGGCCCCGGCGAATCATGCCCGACTCACAAACACACATTCATCGAAATAAATAACGCGCCCGGCGAAAAATGAACCGGCTTGTGGCGCGCGCGCGCGCGCACACACAACAAAACAATGCGCGGCTAAAGACAGGTAGCAATCGGTTCGCCTCTTATAGCAATCGCTCGCGCGCACGACCACACACACACACACACGCGCATGCGCAAGAAGAGAGCGGGTCATTTGTATACCGCGGGAATGCGCCCGGTTTGGTACACTCACGCGCATGAAGCGTAGATTCCCAATTTGACACAAATTATAATTACCGCATATGAGTGCTAAGCCGAACAAGTCGGTGTCCAGCATGCCCTGCTGGGCGAAGTGCAGGCATGTCTGCTGGTAGAGCTCGCGCACGCGCGATTTGGCCTGGACGATGAAGTAGATTGTCTGCTGATGCAGCAGATGGAGTGCTAGGAAGCGGGCGGCCGGGGGTAGCGCGCCTGCGGGGCTGCACGCGGCCAGAGGGGCGCTCACCGTGCACAGCCCGGCACGCATGACCCCACCATCTCTAACCGAGGCTTCTCGCCGTGCACCACCTGAGAAAACAACCAAATATTAGAAGATTTACCGACATTAGCAATACGCATGCGCGTATTATAGTTATAGATTCTACCGTTGTGGCGTTGTGTACTGTTGTACCATTACACTCTACATTAACCTAACCTAAATTTGAGTGTAAATGCCGTGTATTACAACAAGAAGAAGAAGAAAAAAAAACGTGTTAAATCATTCGCGGAAACGGACACGTCGAAAATATCAAATTCCTCGCCGAGATAAAGGCTGGAAAACACAGGCGGTGTTCATTAGTGTCTGCCCTAACCGGAATGCCATTAGCACGAACAGGAAAGACGCAATTAAAGCCAATAGAAGGTAATTAATTAAATAGATTAATATTAACACCGCCCAAGACTAACCAACTAGTTCCACTTGATGTGTGTTCATACACTCATATGTGAGTATAATGCGCATGTGTGGCTAGAACAACAGAGCATACATTTACACGACGCTCAAATTGATTCGAAGCGCATGAAATTGATTCGAAATGATTCACACTCGGGTCAGAAATAAAGCCGAGTGTATATTAAATAAATAGGCGCATTGAAATAAAGCGGCGCGCGCGCGTTTGCGTCCGCGCGGCGTGTTAAATCGAAGGTGTTTATGAGCGCGGATTGTTATGCGCATTCCTGTGCTCACGGCGCTATGACGGTTCGTGACTCGCAAATGCGTATGCGTATAGAGTACATACGGTGGGTATGCACTACTTCTGTAGATCTCGAAACTCGTGCCGTATTCATGCCGACATTGTATTTATGAGGTTCGGGCATGCATTGCAGCGCCGCTAATGCTAGATATTAATTGATCTTAATGCATCCGCCGCGACCGGACTGCGAATTCGCGAAGAAATTCAAGGATAGCGAGGAGCGCCTCCAAACAAAGTTCATGGGAATTGAAATTTCAAAATTTTAATAAAATTTTCTTCAAAAAACTGTGAAATTTTAAAGTTGCCGATAAAAAAAACCACAAATTTATTCGTTTTTATGGAAAAAATTCAATTTTTTAACTAAATTAACCTAAAAAACAGTTTTTCAATTTGAAAGAGTGCGTAAAATCATCATTTTTTGCACTAGTTCAATAAAAATCCTTGAAATTACAATAAATATAATTGTTTGAATTATGTAAGTTGAAACTACCCACTGAAAATTCCATCATTAGTAAATACAAACGCAAGAAATCAAACATTAAACATTATTATACCCACATAACCTGATATCTGGCCTAACATAACCTAAATCCGAATGAATACGGGTGACACATATTATGCACACACATAGCAATGTTTTTGCATCGATTGCGATATTAAGAAAATTGATGCAATGAAAGTGAATAGAATAAACACAACATCATTGCCGCGCGCTGAGTGCTGAGTGTTTTATTGTTAACCTTGAATATCGCCACGCGTTTTACACCTGCCATCACACATCATTCGCATGCTGGCTGGCATAAAATTATGCGTTGAGATTTTTCAATTTCCTTTCATTCAAATTCAAACGCTTACATTTACATTTAACTGTGTAATTGTTTACTGAAATTTATTATTTCGTTGATCATACAATCTGTTTAAATGTTTTATTTTAATGTGTAATTAATAATTTCATAGATATTTCGTTTCTATCCGGTGACAGACACTGAGTCTTGTCGTGGTTATTAATTAATTACTTGACAGCACTATAATATTGCTGCAAATGTTCACATTCTGTGTTTAATTCTATAACTAATTAACTAAACATTTAAGTGAATGGAGGTTTGTATATAAAGTTACAAGCAAAAGTAATTACAGAATAAATATAGAAATAAAATTCATATTTTGTGAAATAAAAGTTATTCCTAGAAAATTGTAGAAAATTAATGCGAGAATTGTGAGTGTAACTGCATTTGTGCATTAAGAATTAATTAATTGACTCATGATAAGCAAGTGACAGATGGGTTTTGTCCCAGTTATTGCTTAATTGCACGGAAATGTAAAGAGATGCAACAGTGATTCTTGGAAAATTAAATTCTGTAGTAAATTTAGCACATTACTGTGGAATTATGTAAGAGAAAGCATGAAAATATAAAAAAATTACGAGATAAATAAATTTAAAATTCGGTTAAAAACAAATGTTTCAAAAATCTGTAGAAATTTAAGTATCCAGGTAAATTTAGAACAATTAGCGTAAAAATTGTGAATATATCTTGTTGATATTTGGAGTAATTAATGTTATTCACTCAGATAATTCTTATCACTTTAATGTTCCGCGTAAATTGCAATTAATTGCCCAATGGTGCGAAGAAAATCAGGAATTTTCACTTAATTAATTCTCAATATCATTCTACATTCATTCACGATAATATTTTGAAGAATTTTTCACAGCATTCAAAGTTATAGGGCGAAAAACTCGAATTTTGTACGAAAAAACATAAAAAATTAGGTATAACTATCAAAATAATAAGTTTTTCGACATAATTCTGCAATTAATACATGCCAAATTAAAAGTAGAACATTAAAAAACATAATTTTCAAATGATTTTAAGATAATTTGACTTTTACGTAGTTTAGACCGTTATACTACACTTAAGCGTAAGTAACATATTAAACTACAAGTAGTTTATTGATGTTTCTGAAAGTAGTCTAGGTCCTTACCATGTGTTTTAAATATAATCCGAAATCCTTAGTAAAGTTCCCGCATGTCCACTGTTAAATCCCAATGCACTAATTAAAAGATAATCCAATGATGCACACGTTGAATCCCGGCGGTGGAATCGTCCGCACGCACACTGCACTACTTAAGTCCGATGCGCATTCGCCGAAAAACTCACACAACATACGCCGCCCCCGAAACACGAGCGTGCCGATTGACTTGCGCGCGAATTTTCAAAGTTTTCCGCGATTCCTCGGCACTTTTCCACACAACCGGTCCCCGGTCCGCCCGTGTGTGCACACGCTCCGCGTTTTCGTACCTCGTCGCAGCCGCCGCAGCCCAGCGCGCATTGAAAGAGAGCACCCGATTTGGACGGAGTAACGCTCGGCGCAACGCAACGATGGATATTTTTCAACTAAAATCCCTTAGTAGTTTTACTGCGGTCAGGTACACTCAGCGCGCAAAGCACGATTGGAATGCGCTCGCTCAAACAAACATGCGCACAACTCGTATATGTTAACAGCGTATATGACTTAGCTGGTCCGCACGGCGAACTGGTAGTACACTCCGGTTTGACTCAGACCTGCGCGGCTCGCGTGCACGTGCGTGCGAGTAGGACAGCGCAGTCGGAGCGACGTGGATGGAACGAGCATTGGTATGCACGTTGTTACCTGCACGCTGCGTGCTCCCCTACCAGCCCGCTGGCTGGATGGCGCGCGGAGCAGGATATCGAGAGAGGCATCACACGGCGCGATCACGGCCCAAGACTCAACGTGCGCGCGCGCGCCGTATTTGTATGCATCGGTAGGCTGGAACTGCAGCCGGCGACGGCAGCGGCATTCTTGAGGCGCGCGCGCGCTCGCCGCCAGAAGAAGCGCGCGGAGTGTACGCGGCTCAGGTGTGTTGGATACCTGACCAGAGGCTACATTCCACAGCTACATTCCGCGCGGAGAAATCACGTTCGTAAGTAAGCAGGGTACGTACGTTTCATTCCGGCCATTATGCGACGCGTTCTCGCATGCCGCGCGCCTCGCCACGCTTCGCGGTTCATTTGCGGAGCCCTTATCACGAGATGCACCAATTCGAAACAAAAACGTTTTTTTTTATTATCTATAAACTACTACATAATGTAAGTGCCTACTTCATGCGGTTTTCATAATAGATTAATATAAGTTTAATACTTGGTTAACAGATGGCGCTGCTGTGTCATATTGATATAACCTTATTAAGTCTGTGTCAATAGATCCAAATTAGTTTTTGCTTCCTGTAAATCCGATTCGTGTTTCATCGCTGTGGTGAGATAAGCTTTTGCTAAATTACTGCGTCCAAGTTTATGTTGTAATACTCCTAAGTTGTTGTAACCAGCCGCGTGGTTTGGATCACAAGAAATGCACAGATTCAAACACATTAGTGCCAGTTCAATATCTCCAGATCCCTGTAAAATATTATAAATTAATTTTTACGTAAATTAATTTTTTATAGGTTATTAATTATTTACCAGTGCTAAATGTGATAAATTGTACCAAACATCAGCTTTGATCAACGGATCTGTTGCCAAATCTAACGCGCGTTGAAAACATACATAAACCAAGTCTAACTGCTGCGCATACAGACAACATAACCCTAAATTATTGTACAGTTCGGCGCTGTGCGCGCCCATCGCCAATACGCGTCGGTAATACCTCAGCGCTAATTCCGGTTGATAGTTATAGAAATGATACACTGCGATGCATGCAATCGCTTCTGTGTTCATCGCGTCTTCAATCACCACACTGCGGTAGAATTTAATCGACGCCTGCATTTCACCGGTAGCTTCATTCAAGCGCGCCATTTCTGTCAAAATGGAGACATCTTCCGGGTAGACTGTGAGCGCTGCACGACAGATTTCTGTAGCGCTGAGTGGTTGATCCATTCGTAAATAAATACGTATTAAACGTAGGAATATTTCGAAATGTTGTTGTTGTTTTAAAGCACTGCGTAATTGTTGTTCGGCGTCTCGGAGTAAATTTAATGCGACGTAACATTTTGCTAGTTGAACTTTCCACCACCAGTCTTTGAATTCTGAAGCTTGGGTGGCTTGGACTGCTAGTTCCATTGCATTACGTACGTCACCTTCGTGATAGTACATATATTCAAAGAGTGGTTTGCTTAGACATTTATCCTTGGCGTATTTTGAAATATTCAGCCGGGATATTTGTATAAAGGGGCCGTCACGTTGAGAGAACATGGCGGCTGTGCCTAAGCGAATGGCGCGAGCTGAATGTCCTGTCAATGGACGTGCGGTTTTAAGCCGGTCGAGGACTGAGGAGCCAGGACGAGATTGTGTTCCAGGGCGTGAGACTCCACTGATTGGACGGCCGGTAGATGTACGAGGTCTTGACCTGGATGGTTTATGTTTTTGTTAATGTTAATATTTTGTGTTTAATTTTAAATTAATATCTACTTACCCGATTCCTTTATTATTGGTGTTTGAATTTGTGGCTGGTCGCATGCTGGTGCCTGGTCGTGGTGCTGTAGCCACAACGTTTTCGTTTAAGAAATCTGTTTCGTTTATGTCCTCTGTATCGATGTCGTCAACGTAGACACGCTGTGTCATGGCACGCATTTTTAAACACCATGCTGCTTGGTCCAAGGGTTGTTTTTCTAATATGAGGGTGCACAAGTCTACACATTTGTCGAAATGTCTTCGTCGATACAGACTCAATGCGACGTATAAAGGGTCCATTTTTGGTAAAGTAAATTTAATACTTTTGGGGATAAAATTACGTTATGTTGTTTGTATCGTCAGGTTTTGTTTACAGTAGCGTTACTATAGTTACATTTTGATTTCAAAAGTTTCTATAGTACGACATAATTGGAGAATTTGTTTTAACGTAGGCAACCCACATTACATTATAAATTAAATATTAGTAGTTAAAACTTTTTAAACTTATAAATTCACTCCGCTGCTCTCTGCCTTTTTGAAACAATCAAAGCAAAACATCGAGAATCCCAAACCCCCGTATCAACCAACCCTTTCAGAAAACTCGTCTCTTTACCGTCTCCAATCATAGAAAATGAAAAACACTCACTTTGGATGTGCTATATATAAATGTCCGAATAAATAAACTAAATAAATATTTATTAAATAAACAACTATCAGCTCTATTTCTTTTCAATTGTATCTACGAATTATACATTTGTCAGATATGTAATAAATTTGTAAAAATCAAAGAGTATCGACAGCGAATTTGTTTCCTCGCAAATGTTTCCCAATTGCGCACGTCGGCGCTTTTATAAATAAAATACGAGATTTTATAGCGGCGCAGGCCCGCTCTCGATTTATTTATAATCCAGTCGGTCAGTGGTCGGCATACCGGACGGGCTAAGCACGCGCGGAGAGCGTCGCGACGCTCATGGACACGCGGCCATGCACATCTCGTGCAAGTGGATCTTTGCGTGTCTCTTCGTCCTAGGTTTGCATTCCCAACAAACGGAGTCATCCGAACAAGGATTAGCGTAAGCCCCAATTCATATCCACAATTTAAACAACCCCTAGACCTTATAAGTTGAATTTTTATCCGTAGTATAGCAAAATGGGCCGAGAAATTAAGCAGAGAGCTGTACGATTTGGGGAATGCCATCACCAATCGCACAGCTATGGCCAAGGTAACATTCCAATAACAGGTAACGGGTAAAATGTAACTTTCTGGAGTTTACAGAGATATAAAACACATAATGCTCGTGTAGAAGTGCGAAATCCAAATGCTTTATTAGTTGAGATCAAGGAAAACATCGAGCGCATGGTCGATCGTAAAATAGACGCAGTTCGAGTAAGAATTTTATATAGTGTTACTACACAAACACTAAAATCAACAAAAAATTGATAATATTTTAGTGTATTCAACAAGTTGCCGAATCCGAAGCAGAATTATTCGATTACACCTCGAATAACACAGAGTATTATTACTACAACTCGAAGTACTCTTCGGTTGAAGGTGAACCTCCCGACGCTTTAGAAATTCCTGACCCTATCGCCCCAAACCGCTGGATGTACATACCGATGGTCCTTAACAACGACACACATTTTTACAACATCCCTGTCAACACCACTCATAGTTCCGTGCATGTACCTTTAAATATCTACGATAGACGTAAGTTTCTAAAGAAATATGTGTCACCTTCAATAGTAATATTACAGTTAATATTTAACTGTAGATAGAAGTCCCCAACAGTATATTGAATGGTCTGAGGCATTGGATGAGGTGTTTGTGCAAAATTACAAGTCGGATCCTTCATTATCCTGGCAGTATTTTGGTAGTACCACTGGTGTTATGCGCCATTATCCTGGTAAGATCTGTAATACTAAAAAAATTAAAAATTAATTTTATTGATGTGCCTTCATGATAATAGCCATGAGATGGATGCAAGATGATTCCGAAATAGACCTTTTCGATTGCCGTACCCGTACGTGGTTCATCGAAGCAGCTACGTGTACAAAAGATGTGATTATCTTGGTTGATTCTTCTGGATCCATGCAAGGCATGCGTAAACACATCGCATCCTTGACTATATCCAGTATATTGGATACCTTTTCGAATAATGACTACATCAATGTGATGAACTACTCCATGGGTACCAATTATACCGTACCATGTTTTGAAGACATGCTTGTACAGGCTACCAACGAGAATATAAATACCTTTAAGAAAGCCGTGCAGAATTTAGACCCTGACAACAAATCGAACTCATCTATTGCTCTGGAACATGCGTTTGCTTTGTTGGAGAAATATCGAACCGTAGAACGATGTGGGGCGAACATGGAGTGTAACCAGATGATTATGTTGGTCACTGATGGTATAGCCGGGAATTTGAGCACTGTGTTTGATATGTATAATAGAATTAATAATACTGATGGGGTTAGTATACCGGTGCGGGTTTTTACGTATCTTATAGGTGTTGAGGTGTTGAATGTGAATGAAATCATGTGGGCTGCTTGTACAAATCGAGGTAAGGAGTAAAATAAAAGAAAAAAGAAGAATATTTTATATTTTTGAAATATCTTAGGATATTATTCACATGTGGAGTCTTTAGAAGAAGTCACAGGATCTGTATACAAGTATATTCCTGTAATAGCACGACCTTTAGTATTACAACGTGATGTACATCCGGTTTCATGGACTCACGCCTATGCAGACACCACATATGACGATGAAAATGATAAGGTGTTTAATGAACCATATCGTCTTCTTACATCTGTTGCCGTACCTGCTTTCGATAAGAAAATAAACAATGAAAACGACACTATGACTGCTGAACTTCTCGGAGTGGCTGCAACTGATGTCCCCATTGATGAAATACGAAAATTAACGATGCCGTATAAAATTGGTGTTATGGGTTATGCTTTCCTCGTGAGCAACAATGGATATATCATAATGCATCCTAGTTTCCGGCCGGTGTTTAATAAAACCGTCTTAAAAGAGAATTATAACAGTGTGGACTTTATGGAGGTGGAACAACATGATGTTAACCTACCACCTAGAAAAATAGATCCCAATTCGACTGTTTATCGTTTAAGGCAGGCTTTGGTCGATGGGCAAAGTGGTTCTTTTCATGATGCCACTTTAAAGTACCACTATGATAATATTCGAAGGATTACCAGGCAAAGTTACGATTATTATTATTCTCCCATTGAGGGTACACCGTTTTCTTTGGGTCTTGCAATGCCTGATAAATATGGGAATTTGTCGATTGTTGTTAAGGATGAGGTGAAGAGAGCGGCGCATATTGGGAAAAATGTCACCGTGTTCCTAAAGGAAATTTTTAATGGTAGCAATTGGAGGGTACACCCTAAATGGTAATTATAGTATTAAAATATATAATGATAATAATAAAATTAATATTAATATTTATATATTAGGGTGTATTGTAAATATCACTATCTAGAAGGACATGAATTTGATTCTCCTGAAAAAGAGCTTCTTCATTTTATTGAACGAATTAATGGTAGCTCTTTCCTGAAACACCGGCAACACATAGCGAAAAATCAACACTGGGATTCTTATAATCAAATATACGTCGAGGATAATGATGAAGGTAATGTAAATATTATCATTTTTGTTTTTAAATTAATCAAAATGGCGTCTAGTTGAATGTGGCCGTATTACACTTGGTGAGGACGATTACTACTGCGATGAAGACCTCATGCGACGTTTAATCTTTGATGCGAAGATAACAATGAATGATTACGATGATAAGTGGAATTTTGTGACCAAACGTGATGAAACTCTCTTTTTGCGCTACAATGCCACTTTGAGATTCGTAGCGACTATGAGTGGACTTACTCGATGGGAGTATATTTTCGGGGAGGATGAAAACAATACAAAAACGTAATTATTTCACTTGTTAACCAGCGAAATTTTTTTTATTAATTATTTATTGATTTTTAGCGAATTTGGTGATTGGCATTCACGTGCAATTGATGAAACGTGGTATAAAAGTGCCGTGCTTCAAAATCAACACGATGATAACTCATCAGTGTTTTCTGTGCCGTTTGAAATCGGAGATCAACCTGGAAATATCGAACCGTAGAACGATGTGGGGCGAACATGGAGTGTAACCAGATGATTATGTTGGTCACTGATGGTATAGCCGGGAATTTGAGCACTGTGTTTGATATGTATAATAGAATTAATAATACTGATGGGGTTAGTATACCGGTGCGGGTTTTTACGTATCTTATAGGTGTTGAGGTGTTGAATGTGAATGAAATCATGTGGGCTGCTTGTACAAATCGAGGTAAGGAGTAAAATAAAAGAAAAAGAAGAATATTTTATATTTTTGAAATATCTTAGGATATTATTCACATGTGGAGTCTTTAGAAGAAGTCACAGGATCTGTATACAAGTATATTCCTGTAATAGCACGACCTTTAGTATTACAACGTGATGTACATCCGGTTTCATGGACTCACGCCTATGCAGACACCACATATGACGATGAAAATGATAAGGTGTTTAATAATATCGTCTTCTTATGTTGCCGTACGCCTGCACTACGATAAGAAAATAAACAATGAAAACGACACTATGACTGCTGAACTTCGGGTGGCTGCGACTGTGTGTACCCATTGATGAAATGCGAAAATTGGCGATGCCGTCGCTTAAAATTGAAGTTGTGATGGTTACATGCTTTCCTCGTGACAACAATGGTCACTTAATGCATCCTAGTTTCCGGCCGGTTTTAACAAACAGTGCAAAAGGAGTATAACAGTGTGGACTTTATGGAGGTGGAATACTTATGATGTTTACCAGGAAAATAGATCCCATTCGACTGTTTATCGTTTAAGGCAGGCTTTGGTCGATGGGCAAAGTGGTTCTTTTCATGATGCCACTTTAAAGTACCACTATGATAATATTCGAAGGATTACCAGGCAAAGTTACGATTATTATTATTCTCCCATTGAGGGTACACCGTTTTCTTTGGGTCTTGCAATGCCTGATAAATATGGGAATTTGTCGATTGTTGTTAAGGATGAGGTGAAGAGAGCGGCGCATATTGGGAAAAATGTCACCGTGTTTCTAAAGGAGATTTTTAATGGTAGCAATTGGAGGGTACACCCTAAATGGTAATTATAGTATCAAAATCAATAATTATAATACTAAAATTAATATTAATATTTATACATTAGGGTGTATTGTAAATATCATTACCTAGAAGGACATGAATTTGATTCTCCTGAAAAAGAACTCCTCCATTTTATTGAACGAATTAATGGTAGCTCTTTCCTGAAACACCGGCAACACATAGCAAAAAATCAACACTGGGATTCTTTCAATCAAATATACGTTGAGGACAATGATGAAGGTATTGTAAATATTAATATTATTGTTTTTAACTTAATCAAGATGGCGTCTAGTTGAATGTGGCCGTATTACTCTTGGTGAGGATGATTACTACTGCGATGAAGACCTCATGCGACGTTTAATCTTCGATGCGAAGATAACAATGAATGATTACGATGATAAGTGGAATTTTGTGACCAAACGTGATGAAACACTCTTTTTACGCTATAATGCCACTTTGAGATTCGTAGCGACTATGAGTGGACTGACTCGATGGGAGTATATTTTCGGAGAGGATGAAAACAATACAAAAACGTAATTATTTCACTTGTAAACCAACAAAATATTATTTATTTATTGTGTTATAGTGAATTTGGTGACTGGCACTCACGTGCAATTGATGAAACGTGGTATAAAAGTGCCGTGCTTCAAAATCAACACGATGATAACTCATCAGTGTTTTCTGTGCCGTTTGAAATCGGAGATCAACCTGATGTGCTGGTGACTTCTAGCTCTGCTATATTTTATCAAGATGGCGTTCATAAAATACCCGCGTCAGTTGTTGGCTTCCAATTCTCACATAAACATTTCTACAAGAGATTTTTTGAGATTACTACACAAGTCGTACGTTTAGTCATCTAAAACATTTTAATATGATTTTTATTAAACTTTCTTAAACAGGACGCCAATGCTACTCCTTGTGGTGATTTACTAGATTGTTACGTGATTGATAACAGCGGATACATTTTAATATCTCCCACACTGGATAACACCGGAAAATTTTTCGGTGAAGTTGAAGGTGCGGTCATGCATTCAATGCTGGTTGAGAATCTATTTGAAGAAATCAAAGTCTACGATTTCCAAGGTTTATGCTTTAATGAATCTGCGAAATCCAGTGATGTTGGACGTCTTGTAACGGTAAACATAACCACAACTGCGTTATAAATTAACTATCATTGTTTAAATTTAATTTAATTTAAATTTAAGCCTGGTAATTTGATTCTAAGTTTAATTAACGGTCTCTTTGCAAACATTTTATGGTTTTTTATGCGTACACAATTGTACCACATGTGGGACCCGAATTTTATCGCTGCGGAAGACATGTTTACTACTCCATATCCTAGAATAGATGAAGACGATGATGATGAGGCTACTGTCTCATCAGAAACCGATGATGAAATTGAAATTGTACAACCGAAAGAAGAAGAGAAGATACGCACGTATTACCCATGCGATTTACAGCGTAGTCTCTTTATTATGAATCACACAAAAGTAAAGCGTGGATACAGTGGTGAAGTACCTCGAACTTACTCTCGGCCATTTTATATCAAGCACATCCGTAACAGTAATCTGATTATTGTCGCGGTGAATGTAAGTCATTCGCAACGTGATATAAACTATACCACTGATCCGTCGTTTGTGGAGTACCCGGTTGGAGTGGAACATCCATGTCAGAAGATTGATTTAACTACTTTACCACGACGAGGGTTAACAGAGTGCTTTAATTCTCATCCTGACGTAAGTCAATTTATTATTATTAGTGAAAAAGATATAAAAATATTTATTTTGTTTTTTGTTTTTGTTTTGCAGGAGGCTTTAATAGATATATGTGGTGAATCAAGCAAGACCTATGCTAATATTCTGTTGTTTGTATCAGGGTTAATGATATTATTTTACATCACCTAGGATTACAAGTTTGAGACGAGTTTGAAAATGATTAAAAAGTTTCGGAGAAATGCTCCAAAATGCCGGCGGTGCTGGCTTTGTTTATCTTGTTACAACTGGCGGCGACCTCCAAGTTGATCTTTGGATTGCCACAACTGAATACACCGACTTTCTCGACCTGTAACATTTTTTGTTAGTATGTATTATATGTAAATTATCGATTTTGTTTACTTGTGAATGAAGAGTGAGAACAGTGTTTAAAAATTGTGGTACATTCGGACGTCCAAAATGTGTGACAGCTTGTAAATTGGTAAACATCGACTTGTTATTCAGTTTCTGATAGTGTTTCTCGAAGATATACAGGAGAGTAGTACGTAAGTCGTATTTTTCATAGAATTCGGTGATGTAAATGTGCGGATTGATCACGTCGTGCTTGTCTTGTTCTTCTATTTCTCGGAGGAGGTCTACTAACCATTCAAATTGTTTCTGCGAACGGGATACCCATAGAAAGTAGACTTTCTTGCCGATAAACTGTTCTGAATTAGACTTATAGACGATATCTTTGAGAATACTTGCAAAGGGAGTAACACCGATGCCTGATGCGATTAGAACAGACACGTCGTATTTGTTCCAATCTTGATGACCCTCGCCAAATGGTCCATCGATGTATAATTTTGAAAATGGTCTGTCGTATAGTTGCGCATCGGAGTATATCTGACGTAGCGCATTTGTCCAAGGACCTACCGCGCGTACATGGATAGAAATATAGTTTTGATTGGGGCTGGATGATAGTGTAAATGGATGGTATTCATGTGCATTGATTCCTAGACATGCGACGCGTATCCATTGACCTGCTTTGTAGGTAAATCCATGTGGCTTTGCAATTTTTAGCATCGTTACGTCTGGAAATATATAAAAATAATTTAGTAACATTTTCTGTTACTGAAACATACTAGAAGGTAATATTTTAACATCTTCGACAATGATTTCAGTCTTCTTCCGGCTGATACTGATGCATTGATCAATGGAAAATAGAATCACAGGCCCCAGAAAGAAATAGTAGAAAATTGGTGGTTGTACAAGTTGTCCAGTGCCATGCAAGACCATCAAAATGTAATATATCGGATACAATGAGTGCGTGTACCAGAAATAGTTATACAGTCGACGACGCAACCATGTTTGAGCAAAAATCATCATGATAGCCAAGATCAACGTCAGTAATATCCCAGTTACGCCTGTAATTGTTCCCCAGCACCAGTAATGAAACTTTGGAAACTCGTGCGTCGCATGGAAAAAGTTTCGGAACAAACATGTTAGATCATCGGCGGTTTGCGTTGAGATGTGGTAGAAGTTCAACGAATGACCAATAATATGCAGGACTAAAATATATCAAATCATCTAAACAAATGTTTTACATTTGACGGGAATTAATTCTTACGAGTGAATCCAAGTGCCCAGAACGCAATATATTTGTGGAAATCCACGCAGAAGTCAAAGGGAAAGTATGTACTTGCTGAGGTGTCTCTCAAGATGGTAATGATATTACGGCACATTGTCACTAGCAGTGATGCATACGTAAACATCATGGCGGATGCCGCACCACGTGTTATTGAGACTCCATAGCCAGCAATTTGTCTCAAACCGCCTACTTCTCTCTCAACCGAATAATCTATCACATAAAGAATTAATCAGAATTATCTTATCATCATCAGAATTAATTTAACATGATTGATAATATTAATTTACGCACAATATGCCCTTTCTGCAAAAATGGCAATCATGACCAAAGTATACAAAGTCACCCAAAATATTTCTTTTGACTTGCGTTCCACGTATCGAAGAAAATTCCATCGAGATGACATAGTTTCTTCATTGATCACCGCATCGTTGAGTAACTTTGTTTCTTCTTGACGTTTTGCCCCAAATCGCCTTACATCTCTGCAGAAAAATGGTAAATTTTATAAAATAAGTAATGTTGAATTGGTATAATGTACTCACGCATATACTTCATCCACCATTTGTTGGGCAGTATTGTATTTCTTTTTGCCAATGGTCAAATTTACTTTAACATTGTTCAAAGTATCGTAATCTTCGTTAATGATAGATAGAAAGTCGTCAAATGTCAGCGCTGTTTTCCCATGGAGGTTTTTACTGCGTAACAGTTCATCGATAGAGTTATTAAGTGTAACTTCGTTTACTTCCGATAAAGACCGACCTAAAAATGATCTACAGACAAAATTTATATTTGTATGACAATAATTAATCAATAGTTTACCCTGTTAATTGTTTGAAGGTCTCAATTGGTAGTTTTCCCTCATCGTTGATGTTATACATTTTAAATAATAATTTTGCTTTGTCTTTAGCAGTACCCTCAGCAAAAGTAGCAATAAAATCAATAAATTCCCGGAAAGAAACAAAATTGTTTTTATCCTTATCGACCAGATCGAACATGCTCATGGCTATGGCACTCTTTGGATCCATGCTTAGTGCCTCGGCGAATTCATATCTGGTGAGCTCAGTTTCCACCAGACTGAGTGATGTATCATCCACCATATTTTTCTCTTGACTCTCATAGGACTTAACAAATGCTTGCCCAAAAACAACTCGGAAAAACCGTTCTACCTCTGCTTGTCGCTGCTGCTTCGTGATGACCTTTTTAGCAGCTATTTTATACAACAGCTTTGCTTCGTGTTCATGGACAGCACTTTGAATTTTTGCCGCGAATAAAGTTAAGCTTTGTACGAAGTTTGCACGCAGAGGAGCGTACTTAAACATTAATACAAGGTCGTATCCATGGAGAACTTTGATCACTAACGCTGGTTTATCAATGGTGCACATATAAGTGATTCCATTGCTGCAATCAACTGCACGTAGTAGAGTTTCTTTGGGGTCCATTACCAGGATTTGTTTTTTACTCTCGTCGAATGTGACGAAAACAATTCGTGAGGGTGAACGTGGACCGGTAATTTCTTTTGCGTCGTAGATTTGTCCATTGGTAGGAGTGGGACTAGCCATTCTAACGGTACGCACCCGCCATTGCATTAAAACATAAGCTAGGGTAAGGGCAGAGACAATAAACGTGGCCACACCGGTGAAGGTTAAAATAAAGGAAGTTTCACTTCCGGAAAAGTAATCAAAAGTAGTCCCTTGAACACATGGCTCGTTAAGTTGCGCAGCATTCAAAATAGGAAGGTGGGAGCAATTCTGGCAGCCTGAGCTGCTTGATTTTACAAACACTTTTTTGCACTTTTCCCCGATTTTAGAATCTGAAAATAACAGATGGAGAAATGGTAATATTGAAAGAAAATTTAATGTTTACCATCTGAAGGGACTCGAAAGACATTTTCTTGAATGTCAAGTGCGTCCATTTTGGTTACCAGCATTACAATATCGTACACAGAAATTTGTTTGATGCGTTTTACTTCTGCTGCTGTAAAAAGTCTACAATTGATATTATGAGTAATAGTAGAATTTTAATAGAAACAAATAATGGTACCTGTTTTCCAGATTCTCGTACCAGAAACGGTCGGCGTTTCTAATCCGTCGAAATTGGTCCAATATAATTGTTTCAAACAATTCCCCTGGGCCAGTGGATGTGGTTTCCAAGATCCCTCCAATCCAGGTATCGACGTTATCAATATTATTGCGGTAAAGTAACCTCAGTCTTTCTTTTACCTACAAAATATTAATTAAACTCAAAAGTTTACTGATATTTGAAAAAAGAAATACTTCAGGTGTTATTGTTTTAAAATCGTCAAACGATGTGTAGGGTTTTAGACCATAAGCGCGACGTGCCGTGTTGAAATCTGGTAAACCATGATCACGACCTCGTTGTACATTAATTGCCATTAAATCCCTACGGGGAAACTCCAGAGGACCAAAAACATTCCCACGCAGGTCCTCGACTATTTCGTGGTCTTCTTTTTCGCACAGTTGGCTAGCCATACCCATCAGGAGACGGTCAATGTCGACAATCTCTCCAGTTGTACTATTCACCTTAGAAGTTAAGGCGGTTTGTGGTCTCCAGAAGGCATTGCATGTGCGCACTGCCTTTGTACCCAGAATTCTTATTGCATTAAATCCGCATTCATTCCGATTGTAGTCGCGTACATACACACCGGGCGTGACTAGGGTGTGCCCAAAACGGAATGCAGCGGTTTGAAAGTACTGATCTATCTGGGGATCAATACTAGCATCATAGGTTTTGTATTTTTCAAGAGGTTTACTTAGCCACGCAGGCAGCCATTCGTCGATGACGATGTGCTGTTGTGTGGCTATGACCCATTTACGTGCTTCGTTGAAAACTGCTTCGCTGGATAAGTGTGGTTGTCTGAGCTTGATTTGTTCAGCAAGGAAGTTATGCCAACGAAACCATAGTACGCCAAAAGTTAGCAGGAATGTATTTTCATTGCCGCGTGGGTTTCCTAATTCTACATTTGATGTAATTATAACGTTTTTAAATCTTACTCTATAATAACTTACTGAAAAATCTTGTAACTGGTAAGATTTCGTGATTCTTGATAAACTTAGCATGGTGGAATGGAGGAGGCGGGTTGGCCATGGGAAGGCGATGGGTATTATACTCCGGAAAGAGCCCGCCAGGTGTTGTCGCTAATTTACCATTGGGATCTATTGTTCCATTAGCATAGGTCCTCAATTGATCAGCCCACTGTTTTGTGATACCATATATCAACCCGCCATCCAAGTATGGAGTGATTTCATTCAACTAGACATTGTGAATCACACTCAATCAATACTTTATGAACTTTTAAATTAACCCTTACCTGTTGCCTTGGATTATTTGGGGAATGCCCAGTACGGTGATCAAATCTAGTTCGCAGTAGTGGCATTTCTGTATGTGAATGCTGTTTCCTATAAGGGTGCTCCTTCGGTATTGGTATGTTGAAATATTCAGGTGGGCATGCTGGGCGTTGTGCATCGAGTATCTCTTCGACAATCTGTTGACCAAAGAACACTAGGAACGCAGTTTTACCTGTGTTTGATCTGGAGCCTATAGTGCCATTTAGTAACTGGTCACTGAGGTCGAAAGGATTTGGACGATTGCCACCTGCAGGGGCGTAGGTTCCATCGGCATATGCAGCTGGACTTCTTCTTAGAAGAGGCCTGTCAATAGCTCCGGAGTCTGGACGAGCGAGATTGTTGTACCATCCGTCATATCCCGGATATTCCACTTTGCGAAGAAAATGTTTACCCAGTAACCATTCACCAAATCTTTTTCGACTTGCCTGTCGAGCCCCATAATCAGAGTGAGGTGGTTTTGTGTCATTCTGACATAAATTAGGTGTTATAAGCACAAAAATGGTCCCGTAAAGGACAAACACCCAGTGGGTGCGGCGCAACATTGTGAACTGTTCGTTTGAGTGAAACAAATTCCACAACAAACGAAAATACTAATATTTGCTCTTATTCATATAAAGAGAGGCAGGATGTGATAAGTTGTGGTTGTATTAATTTGCGATAAAAAAAATAATTTTGTGACTAAATCCTATGAATGCTGTAATTTACTTTCAATAATATTCAATTTGGACTTCACAGGAATATTATTCCTACAAATTTTATTATTAAAATTAAAATACTTCAAAGAAATCTTCAAAAATGCCGTCGGCGCTGGATTTGTTGATCTGATTACAACTAGCAGCAGAAAAATTATTGATAACATAATATTTGATGTTTATTTAACAATATAAATTGATTCAGTCATATAAACATCACGTTTTAAGTTTAAATTTGCGTTTGAACGCAAAAAAATTGCACAAAAACGACAAGTAATTAAACTTTGAGCCAAAACAGCGATTTTTATACCTAATTCGCCGTTTTAAACCAACTAAGCATTACAAAAATACATTTTTTTGATTTTCTTGCGTACCTGTACTTAAATTATACTTGTAATTTGCATTATAATAGAATACACCTCAAATAAAAGTTGTATCAATCTCTAAAAAATATAATTAAAGTGAAACATCACGTTTTAAGCTTAAATCTGCGTTTTAACGCACAAAAACATTTTTGGTAATTACATGTATGGCTTAATTTATGAAGAGGATATCCATTAAAATATTTTAGAGGCCCGACTATTATTTTTGGGGTTTCTCCCCTGTTAAAAGAGAAAATCCATCAAAATACTCATAATTAAATTTGTTGAAATCTGAAATCTTTGTTTTTATATTTACTGGTGTAAGTATAAACGTAGCTTTATTTGTATTGTGTTCAACCAGCGTTATGCTGTCCAGGTATAGTTCCGGAGTACACCTGTACGGGGTCAACATATTGTTGTTTATGTCCTCTTGTAGGTTCATCTTAATCGTATGGGTAGTGTACGTTTGTATCGCACGAGGTTCGGTACGCGTCTTGTTCTTTGTGATTTTAGCCAGTGAATTTGTTCTTACCAGATTCCCGTACTCAATTGAAGAAATAAATAAGTAAATCTTTTAGCTTTTTTATAAGTAAGTTTTATATTTAACATACAAACTTATTTTCAATATTGAGGGGTTGAATTTTGTTGGTTATTTCAAAGGTGTAGCAACAGAATCCGACTTTGCGAGGTTGCTGTTCTTCTATCCATTGTAAGTAATCATTTTTTTATTATTTTGATAACCGATATTTATAGAATAAAAGAATTAAAAAATCCTTTATTTCTGGTGCAGATATGTTAGATGCAAAACGTTGACATTGACATCAAGTTGTGGTGTTTTTGATACATTTTAATAAAATGTAAGAGAAAAAACCCTGTATCTATTCTGCTTTAGTTAGATTGTAACGGAAAAGTTGTTTAGTCCCGTAGAAGTAAGTTCAGTCTCGCCAAGTATTAGGAAAAGTATAATTGTCGTCAAAAATTTGCTTTCTTGTTAATTAGAGAGTAATTAATTCTTGTTTTACTATGATTTTATATGATCAACTGGACTTCGATGATTTGCAAAGTTTGCATTTAAATTAAGCAACTTAAAACAATTATTATCAATATCTTCGCGGAATTTTATATCACATTCTACTATGCTTTAAACTGTAATGTACGTCAGTTGGATGTCCCACAACTAGGTGGTGCTAGTACTTTCTTAGCTTTATAGTTGAATCTTCAATAAATAGATGGCGCAATGCACGATCTGCGCTTGTTAGTTAAACCTATAGTAACTAGAGGGCGCCACACATGCGCTGAACTTTTTAGTTGCAATCATCACTATCGCATTGACTATCAATTTTTTCAGTTTTGCACAGTTTATATTTTGTGTTTGTGCGTCGCGCACGCGGTCACTGAGTGAATTGGACATTTGTAGCAACCATGTTGATTGATGGTCTGCATTAGAAGGACTCATTGCGCATGGGTAAGTTGTTAGCTATATCTAGACATTGTTATATGCACTAGGGATTGTGTTGCTACTTTGGTTTATCTTATCAGATATGTGAACATAACAATACATCGTAGTTGAGGCATTCCTCAACTAATATTTTCTTTTAATTACAGTTTTGCTCTGCTTGGGACCTGACTGGCATTGGTATGTTTATATTAATTATGTTTATTGAAATATTCACGGTGAACGCATGTACGAGATGTAGTTTATATTGCGTTCAAACTTCGAGTTATAATGACACAAGATACATAGTTGCGTGCCATGTTGCCCAAAATATCAATGGATTTTATCTCGCGAATGATTTGTAATATTTTCGTGTGCCCTACTCTATTCATATGTTTAGATTGAACTCTAGCCTTTTAGCGATGTTCCATTACCATTTTGGGTCCGAATCCTGAGTTTCATATTAAATGTTGCAACTTTTCAAAATATGCGGTGGAAATTTGGCTGTATCTCGGGAACCGTTTATGCGATTTTAATGATATTTTCGAATTTCGATAAAGCGATAGGCATTTTATAAGACGCGATATTGCCGCCCCCTGAAATCACGCTAGAAATGCCTCAAAATTGCTCCGAAACTTTTACGATTTGTGTGAATTTTCAAAACACTCGGTGGAAATTTGGCTGTAACTCGGGAACCGTTTGTGCGATTTTAATGATTTTTTAAATTTAGATAAAGCGATAGGCATTTGCTACGATGCGACATTTCCGCCCCCTGAAATCACGCTAGAAATGCCTTAAAATCGCTCTTAAACTTTTACTATTTGCGTGAATTTTCTAAACACTCGGTGGAAATTTGGCTGTATCTCGGGAACCGTTTGTCAGATTTAAATGAAATTTTCAAATTTAGATAAAGCGATAGGCATTTTATACGATACGGCATTGCCGCCCCCTGAAATCCCCCTAGAAATGCCTTAAAATTGCTCTGAAACTTTTACGATTTGTGTGAATTTTCAAAACACTCGGTGGAAATTTGGCTGTATCTCGGGAACCGTTTGTGCGATTTTAATGATATTTTCAAATTTAGATAAAGCGATAGGCATTTTATACGATGCGACATTGCCGCCCCCTGAAATCACGCTAGAAATGCCTTAAAATTGCTCTGAAACTTTTACGATTTGTGTGAATTTTCAAAACACTCGGTGGAAATTTAGCTGTATCTCGGGAACCGATAACCATTTTATACGATGCGACATTGCCGCCCCGAGAAATTAGAAATGCCTTAAAATTGCTCTGATCAAAACACTCTGTAGAAATTTAGCTGTATCTTGGGAACCGTTCGTACGATTTTAACGATATCTTCAAATTTACATAAAGCGATAACCATTTTATACGACGCGACATTGCCGCCCCTCCAAAATCACGCTAAAATGCCTTAAAATCGCTCTCAAACTTTCACGATTTGTGTTAATTTTCAAAACACTCTGTGGAAATTTGGCTGTATCTCGGGAACCGTTTGTGCGAGTTTAATGATATTTTCGAATTTAGATAAAGCGATAGGCATTTTATACGATGCAACATTGCCGCCCCCAGAAATCACACTAGAAATGCCTTAAAATTGCTCTGAAACTTTTACGATTTGTGTGAATTTTCAAAACACTCGGTGGAAATTTGACTGTATCTCGGGAACCGTTTGTGCGATTTTAACGATATTTTCAAATTTACATAAAGCGATAGGCATTTTATACGATGCGACATTTCGGTGGAAATTTGGCTGTATCTCGGGAACCGTTTGTGCGATTTTAACGATATTTTCAAATTTAGATAAAGCGATAGGCATTTTATACGATGCGACATTGCCGCCCCTAGAAATCACGCTAGAAATGCCTTAAAATTGCTCTGAAACTTTTACGATTTGTGTGAATTTTCAAAACACTCGGTGGAAATTGGATTGTGTCTCGGGAACCGTTTTTGCGATTTAAATGATATTTTCAAATTTAGATAAAGCGATAGGCGTTTTATACGATGCGACATTGCCGCCCCCCAAAATCACGCTCGAAAAGCCTTAAAATTGCTCTGAAACTTTTACGATTTGAGTGAATTTTCAAAACACTCGGTGGAAATTTGATTGTATCTCGGGAACCGTTTGTGCGATTTTAACGATATTTTCAAATTTAGATAAAGCGATAGGCATTTTATACGATGCAATATTTCCGCCCCCAGAAATTACGCTAGAACTCCCTTAAAATTGCTCTGAAACTTTGGCGATTTGTGTGAATTTTCAAAACACTCGGTGGAAATTTGGCTGAATCTAAGTTATAAAGTAAACAATATAATAAAAAAAATTCTTTTGTTGTTTTAAGTTAACATAATCAGGTATATAATTATTTATTTCAATTTTAAAAAGTGTAGTTACGATTATAACACTAACACTGAAAAGGAAGTAAATATAAGTTTATTGGCATATAAACGTGTTATATTAAGTGTAAAGTACGGTTTACAAACCACGTGTGTGTTAACTTAGCCTCAATAGATTTTCACAATTATACCAACCACGAATGCCAACATAAAATATAATACATAAAACATAAATATTTAAAATTTTATTTTTGTTTTTGTTAAATCAATGTAATAACCTATATAATTATTAGGTTAATTTTATATGGTGTTGAGTTACAATTATAACACTGTAACACAGAAAAGGAAATTAATATATGTTTATTGACATTTAAACGTGTTTTATAAAGTGTAAAGTACGCTTTACAAACCACGTGTGTGTTAACTTAGCCTCGGAAGTTGTCACAATTATACATAAATATAATATATGAAGTATTGTTTTATTAAGTTACATAAAACATAAATATTTAAAATTTTTATTTTATTTCCTACACACATATAAAGGGTGAAGTAACCTTTGCATAAATGTTTGTGTTCTATGTGAGCCTTAGAAGTTGTACATAAAAAATACTACTATAAACTATATATAACTACTATATTTAATTCTCTTTTCTCATAGTTCTCGGGAGCGCCTTCTCAAGAACAACAGAACCGTTTTTAAGAAGATGAGCTGTTAAATTGATTTTCGGATTCTAGTCTACTTTGCCGTGAGAATCAGTACCAAGGTGAGTAAATTGGATGTAAATTGTTTGAATTACTCCTTGTTCGTTGTTATGCTAACGCAGTTTTGTTTTCACCTCAGGTGGATGTGGAAGCGACCTATTAATCTGCACGGGGCTATCGCGTTCATGACGATAAGCGTATTTTCGTTTCCTCAGAACGCATTAGGATTTTCGGACTTGTTTCAAATTGTAAGTGATAGAATTTAATGTTTTCCTTATTTTTTTACGCAGATTATGGTGCCGTACAAAATGATTTCTCGCCCTGTATTGGAGAGAGTTTTGTTGAAAATAGAACAAGCCAAACAAGAAAGCATCGTTAGATTTCTTTACAACGTGTTCTCAGGACACTGCCTAATTTTTCTCAAAATGTAAGTAATCTTATATAATATTTTATTTTTTCCATGATTTTTCATATACTTTGGGGCATTTCATATCACGAAAGACTAAAAATATGCATACGTTTCATTTTTATAATGTGTGCGTTTTAGGTTTAACGCGGCGTCGTCGATTGATGAAAGGCATTGTTTTTACTATAGACATATTCAATTCCACGGCGAGTATAAAATTAAATTGTTATTTTATTCTATATTTTATACTTTTGTTATTTTTTAATTTGACTGAGATAAGCAACTTAAAACTTTTGTTATACATTTAATTTAGACTAAAATGAGCAAAATTCGGCTTATTTTGATTCTGTGCACAAAATGTTACAATAATTTTAAATTGTTTGAAATATTGCTTTGAAAGCAGTAGATTACAAATGATAACAAAGCAAAAAGATACAGTACACGGAGGTATGCGAAAGAGGCCCAAAACTGGACAATAATTGTTTATCAAGTGTAAATTGTTAGTTTGCATTTACTCTTTGCTTTGTTAAGTGCAGCGGTAAAGCACAGCACTTTAAATAGTCAATTCAAAATAACATTTTACATTTCATCAACAAGTTCATTAGGTAGCCATTTACTGCTATGGATGTGTTGTCATGTGTCGCAAATAGCGTTTAACATTAAATGCACTATGGCGGTACAGAATCGACACTTAAATTTGCTTATTACAAGTCGAAACTTGTAAATTTTTAACTTATAAATGTATTTTCACTTAGAGCGTTATTTGCACTGGTTTAATTGAAGGATCTACAATTGTTTCACCGGTGAGGACATCGTCAGGACTATCAAAGACATTGCTTAAATAATATTACTAGGCTTAAGTCGACGGAGACGCGTACTTGGATGGAATAATATTTATTTTGTAATACCTATTTAAACCTCTTTTGCGACTCCACCACTGGTAAGATAGGATTTTTAATTTAATTTTAAAATGTATGACAAATAACCAAGTTGTGAAATGATGTACTTAATAATTTAGGATTATTGGTACACAAACAGAGCGGTACTCAAATCAAATTGAATGAATCAAAAGTAATAAATACTACCCTGATGCTTTTAATTTTGTTTGGTGTCTGCTATGCTGCTTGTGTCGGCGCAGCGCGTCAGTTTTCTTGCTTCTTTGAAAGTATTGGTAGGGGCTATCTGCTTTGTTTACGCCTGATATCAATTCTCTCGACAGTTTAGTCGATCGCGCGCTGTGCTACGGTTAACACGTGTTTTGTTCGTCAGTCGATCTTCGTGCGACTTTTCGCATTTCTTACTTTAATTCTGCTTAATTGCTTTATCGGCCTTTGGCAGGCTAATGTGGCTTATTTAACCTAATCATCGGTTCCTTGTGCGCGGGATGTTCCGTCGGCCGTCGCTAATATTATTCGGTTGTGGGAGTATCTGCCACGGTGTAGGTCTTATATGCATAGCCATTGCGTGTTTATCAGCAGTCGTTTATCTTCTGCGTATTGACCAAACTTGGATTTATTATTAATTCCTGCGGATGAACTAACGTTGGTGCTCAGTTTTTTGAATTTAGGAGTCATGGAAACTGCAGTATCCATGAAAGTATTGGAGGTGCGCACATTTTAAAAGTAAGTCTTTACTGCTACGAGATTTGAGATTCGTCAATGTTTTCTATTATTTGAAGATATATGTATTTTGAATGTTGACAATAAAATACATTGCAATGTTATAAACTAATTCTTATTTCTTTCTTGCGTCCCCTTTGTTGTTTTCGAGTATCTGTGTCTGAAATCATATATTGAGTATATGAAATCTTATTGCGTGAAGCGTGTACAATGTATTGCTGTTGCTTGAATTATGTTGTTGTTTTTAAAAACATCATAAAACCAGAAACATATATAGAAGAATCAAATAACAATGATAAAAACACTCGGTGGTCGAGTGGAGACGTGTACCTGCTGGCATACTAGCGAACACGGATCGAATCTCAGTATAGGCATTTTTCTCAAATATAAAATATCTGGAGTGTAATTTGGGTTTGCATATATGAATTGCAACGAAAAGAGAATTGAAATACAAGAAGTAAGAGGCAATAAGAGAAGTAGAAAGTAAGTTGAGAAACGGAGAACAGAAGAAATAGGAGAAGTAGAAGAGAAGGAACAGCAGAAAAGTAGAAGACAGAAGGAAGAGAACAGAGAGTAGAAGAAGGAGGAGTTAGAAAAGAAGAGCAACAGGGAGTGGATCAGATTTTTAAATTTTTTTGGTCCGTGTCGTTGGAGCAGTCCACTTTCGCTAGAATCAGTAGTAATCCATTGCTCCCGACCCATCCTACAGCTACGATAGCCTCTGCGCTTCATCCCCGAAATTATCAGGCATATCAACAATTTTTTATGGTGGGGGATCATCCCAGAGGAAACTCATATAGGATGATACTTATTAGGTATTTCTAAGTTTAAGTCTCAAAGAGGAGGTGACACTTAAAAGCATATTCTTACAAATTGTTCTGACCTGTAGCTGAAATGAAAGATTGGTACACGAAATGTACAAGATACGCTAACAATTTTATAGTGGGGATCATGCCTGAGAGAGGAATACTCTTAGAGACCACAATACCTGAAATAATAGAGGTACATTCAAAGCCTAAAAGGCATAATATTTCTTAACATTTCTTTTATTAATATTACAATGTAAAATAATACAAGTATAGATTTTACAAGTCAACAAAATTCATGCTGGCATATTGAAACAGGACTTACGACCTGCTAAACAGCACAAGCAATACGTACCACTTAGTGATGAAGTTCTAGCAGGGTAAAGCAATTAGCAAAGTCAATTATCATCGTGATTGAAAACGGAAATAAATAGCCACAGGGTGTTACAAAGAAAATTAGGTGCAGACAGGAAATCATTAAACACTCCAAATATCGCGCTGTTTTTTTTTCACGATTGTCACATATAGAAAATTCAACCAAAAGGAAAACACTACAAATATTGCTCGTTTCCACCGATGCTCCGGGAAATTATTAAACAGGGTGTTACAAAAAACTTAAAATCAGGGTTTAAAACAAGAACACTTTCAAAAAGAGCACAAAATAAGGCTATTTACTAAAGTACTGTTAGGAAAACATATATACAGGGTGATAAAAGGAAAATTTTAAAGTACAAATACTTGATCAACATTCACATCATGACGAAAGAAATTTATACCGAAACAACTATATTTTTAACATACTAAATTCAAAGATTTTTACCCAAAATCATCCGGAAAAGTTAAGTAAAAGATTCAAGAATAAAACACTTACATTTTTATTATATATTGTGTATATATTTATCAGTTGATATCATCAACTACTTAAGGTATTTCGACGAATTGAAGCATCATCATAAATTGATAGAACATCAGGCGGAAAACATCCAAATCAACGGAGCAGCTTGACATGTAAATACGATAAAAATAACTATTTACTTGTAAATATTATTAAGATATATAAAACTATTATAGCGAAAAACTTTTTCAACGTATAAGATTATATTAGATCAACAAGAAACTTTTTAATTTAATGATGATAAGAGTGTAATTAGATTTCGTTCAGCGAAAAGAGGAACGAGCCGACGGTCGACGGCAAAGTGGAAGCGTCAGTCGACCACATGAATATTGTCATTTTAATAATCCTCAGATACTTTTTTAAAGACAGTGTGTTTGTAATAATTAAATTATGCATGTTATTTTCGGTAACAGGTTAAGAATTTTGGTAAATGCTACCACGTGTTTGTAATCTGCAAAATTAATATCCTCAAATAGAATAAAAATCAATTTAAGTTAAACCGTCTTAACTATCCGCGAAAAAAGTGATTAACACGTACCAGTGCATTGATGAAGAAGAAAGTTTTGACCCAGAAATAAATCTGATCAGCGAAAACTCGCTTTTGAGATTAACGGACACTTATATCTCACTTAGAACAGTCTAACCGCCGCAACTCATCAAACAAAACGAGCACACATGCTCGTTTCCGAATATTTTGTTGATGACGAAAGAAAATACACGATGATTAATTGAATAATTTAAGTCTGAAAACGCGTAGCGATTAGAGACACGCGTTCGCGCGGACGCTACGCGGTGAAAACGACTTTCCATTGCGCTGCGCAGAAACCAGGTACAAGGCGGGTACGTAGCGATAAGCGATAGCGTTACGTAGCGTCAGTCGAACAAAAGTTGTTTATACACAAACGAAGTGAAGGTAAACACGTAGTTGAGAGTGAAAGTAAAATTCACAATATACGAAAACCATGCTTTTTACTTTCAATATTTCTCGGCATAAGAAAAGAATATATTGGTTTTGGGCCGCAATAGAATAAAAGATAAACAGGAATTTGTAATGTACCAATACAAATAAATAAATAATTTATTATTTTCTAATTGTCTTCGGAATAAGATTACTGTATATAGCCGTTAATAATTAAATAATTGATGTTTTACAACACCGCGACTATTAATATATCTATAAAATAAAATTATTAAAATAGGCAAAATAAAGTGTTATATCTTCGTAGGGTGCCCTGAACACGGTACTTCAACCGCTACCTTCGTAGGGTGCCGTAAACACGAGTCACTTTTACCGCTAGCCTCGTACGGTGCCCACGGGCGATCACTTCTACGCTACCTTCGTGTGGTGCCCTGAACACGGTCGCTACCGCTACCTTCGTACGGTGCCACGAACACAGTGACCTCTAACCGCTACCTTCAGACGGTGGCCTGAACACGAGTCACTTCTACCACTTTACCTTCGTACGTTGCCGTGAACCTGATCACTTCACCGCTATCTCCGTACGGTACCTGAACACGAGTTACTTCTACTAATTCTTAATATACAAGTACTACGACACACACACAACATTCCGGATATTTCTCACCAATAAATTCCAATGTTTTAGATTTTTATAATAAACTATACACCTAATGTAAAATTGTTAGTTATATATTACTTGACTTGAGGTGAAGAATACTTGCTTGAACGATGCCAATATGAACTGTAAGATGTGATATCAGCAGGTAAACAAACTTATCTCTTGTGCGAAATCGCGTGATCATACACGGACGTATTACACTCACTACCACCAACAAGCAATATTTAACGCGAAACGTGCGTCGTAATTGCCATCTAACCGACTATCTACTAATAGCAGGGTTTTAAATTTTAAACACATTTATCATATATACAGCAAACTTGATGTTGTGAAAATGTCAGTCATAAGCAATTTAATAATGCCTATCAATCTCAAATATTGCTTTGGTATACTCTATGATACAATAAAATAATAATATATTCACACATCGGAGAAAACAAACATTCAGAAATGGTCAGATAAAAGTTACTTCTCAAGCACGAGAACTCTAATGACGGAAAAAACACATGGCAGGAATATGTATTCGATTGACCGACAAAGTCACACAGTAACCGGCAATAAAACCGCAGCAATCTTGTAATTTGAAATGAACATCAACACCACCGCAAATAAAAGGCAAGTCCTGAAACGTAGAAAATACAAACTAGAATAAGTTTTAATTCGTCGTAGAAATGACTGGTAGTTAACCCGATGTCATACACAACAAATAATGCATTGCTTTATATCATAAATTCATATACTTACTTGATTGCTCATTGGGAGAAAGCCGACGGACGACGGACGACGGCCGACGGATCTTCACTGCACAACGCCGATAAAGCACCGCGAAACGCTGTTCGCTGCGTTATGCAAAACGTGTAAATAGAGCAGACAACTCAGCTGCGCAAATCAGCTGCGACTAGTTTACACCCCATCTACTTATGGTGAGCACTTAAGTCTAGAACGTGAACAAACGGTATTCGTAACGCTATCTGGCTTAACAATATTATGAGACTAGCCATGTGAAAACAAAATTCAGCGCAGCACTGGCATAATAGAGTTCCAAGGGTCATTTTAATTTAAATAAGAATGTAAAACTTGATATTCTAAAATTAAAATATTCTACCTTTTCTTCAAGAAAAATAAAATTTACAATTACCGTATTTTAAATCTAAATAGCATAAATAAGACTTTTAATAGTGTAAATACATAAAAGGAATGCATTAATATAATATCTTATATAAATTACACTATGGAACAATAGAATTGCACAAAACGTACAAAAAATCGTGTGGAAAAATCAGTCCGATGAGATCTCAATGTTTGTTTACATGTCCTCACCCTTCCTAGGAAAATACACAGTTCACTCAAGAGTACAAAAAGCTACTTTAGGCACTGTTAAATCCTGGCAAATAATAACATACTTCGGTCGAAATTATTTAAACTAACCAACTAGACGTCGACGAATATCACAAATACGAATATTGCGTCGATTAAGTACGTACAAAACCTTACGGTGCTCGCGTTGACGCATCGACAACCACGAACTCTATGGCAAAAATACAATTTTTTTACACGCTAATAAAATCTGTGTACAAGTATATAAATATAAATATCTTCCCACAAGTGTCATGGTATATTCGCTGAAAAAAAGCAAGCAATAAATATGTCTTTTCTTCGCTTTGATCGCGTGGCAAATTTGTTTGCAGATTGGCGGGATTGTCGTTCGTCTTCCTTCATCGCTAAAACAGTCTTAATCAAAGTCAATTCCTCGTGAACGCCTCAAACCTATCACTCTGATGGAATGTCATGTAGATGCTTTGTTTTTACAATGCTTGGCAAATCATAAATACTTAAATTAGATTGTGAACTAAAACTTAATTTGTACATATTCGCACTAGAATTACAATGTCGCGTGTTGACGACGCTCACAGAGAGCTTACACGCTTGGTGCTATACAGATGTCTCCTCATCTATTTCTTTCCTGTGAACAAAACCATTATTGTTTAATTTATTGCATTAAGATAGAGGGTCGACACCTCACCTTAATTGTTAAGACCATATTCCCAACACCATCTTTACGTAGGCATGAACAAAGAAAGAGTTATAATAACAGCCAACACCATACATTAGTATTTTTGTAAGGCTACATAGAGTAAAATAAAGTAATAACTTACTGTGATGGATCGGGCGTTGAATGATGAGTAGAATGCATCATAGTCGGCATGTGAGGCATCATTGGAGATGGCGATCCCCTGGCACTACCACAAAGCGATCCGTGAACAGATCCTAGTACTGAACCCATCCGGGAACCCATTCTCGGACCGTGATAATCCATGCCTAATAAATTCATTGCATTAAACAATATGGTGTCGTGTAATTACAGATATTTGATTTAATTTATACCTGGATTGTTAATGTCGTTTGTATGCCCTCCAATTGGCGACATCATCCTACTCGACGGCGGATGCATGTAATTATTAGTGGTTAGATGGTCCTCTTCCGCTGTGTAAGGAAATAAATACTTGTCGTCGACGTGGTGTTTCTCTTCCACATCGGAGCATCTATCCGGGTACTCATGGTAGTTCATGTTGTCATGTGGCGCACCCAATTTGTAGTTGCTTTTACCTAAATTACTCAGTGTGCCCAAATTGCCCAGATTGCCCATGTGACCCATATTGGTGACGTATTGTTGATCGTAATGTGCTCGCATCATGTACTGTTCCGACTGCGTTGGTGGTACGTACGTTTCACCTGGCATTTCAGGGTTTGGTAGAGGATTGGGTGAGCCTGTTTTATGGCAGAATTCGTTATCGGAACCAGTCTCTGCTGACCAACGACCAACTTCAGGCACTATCATTAAGTTAGAATTAAAATCACAAACGAAATTAATAATTAAATTATTACCTGAACCATGGAGATATGACTCCGGCAGTTGACTGGACCATCGAGGACCGTAAGGTTGCACAGCAGGGAACAGTTGCGATTTGGTCACAACGTTCAATGCAGGTGGAGTTCCACATCTAGTTACCACATGCTCAGTGATGTTGGGAAGGTAACCCTGACGTGATTGGCCATTACTTTTAGTACGATGTCTTCTTGTGCTAGATTCGTCGTCGTCGGAAGAGTGACTAGACGCTAAATCCAAACTACGACCCTCGGAACCATCTGAATCTGAATCACTCTCTCCACCACCATGACCATGACCATGTCCATGTCCTGAATGTTCACGTGTATGTCGTCTTTCTCTACGATCTTCTTCTGGAATTTCCCTATGGCGGTGTAAAGCAGACTCATGATCAAATCCGCGAAGGTACGAAGGAACATCGCTTGTAGAGTTGTAGTTTGAAGTACTCGTTGAAGTGTGTCTTAAGTGAGTATCGCTTCGATAGGGACTTGAGCTAGTTTTAGTTGTTGAACGCGAGGTGGTACTCGAGGTGGAGATGCCAACGTTCCTGCGGACTGCCTCAATTGCACTTGAATGGTAAGCCAATGCAGAACGCTAAAACAACAAATTTTAAATCAATATTTAAACCGGGAATAAACGAACAACTGCTTACCGATTGCGCATTGATGTTTTGACTGCTTGTGCTGCCCACACCCGCCACTGAGTTGTTCTCCAAGAGAGGCACCTTCTTCCCCATGCAACGTAGAATCATGTGCACTAGATGTTGTCGCACCCTGTTGTTTGCAATGCAATAACCCAACAATGAGAATATTGCGTGTATCAAAACTGCTACTGACAAAAACGGAGTCAGGAGTGGATGTTTTTCTGAAGCTGCCAATAGTGCCAGTACCCAGGCACCTCCCAATAAAGGTAAGGGCAACAACAGAGACCCATAGTAGGGACCTTAGGTTACCGAAACCCATTACGTGATCTTGGAGTGTAAAAGCAGCACGAACGGCAAACAACAGCACGCACAAGTTGAAGAAAACCAAAATGGAGATTGGACCCACCACTGACCATATAACGCTTTCATACAACGATACCCAGCAGCTGTAATCAAATACATTTTAAAAAAATACTTAATATTAATAGAGTGGTAGAATAAACTTACAAGTAATAGTTGCCATATTGATGAGCTCGTACACCAACAGCCAAACTGACAATCACCGCAGGCAAGACATATCCAATGCAATAGTAGAACCTCATAGGTCCATGATTAATATCCCTCATTTCTGTCAGCATTCTGTATAGATGTATCGCATCCACTAACATCCAAGCAAATCCACCCAGCCACAAATAATGCAAACTCATCGCAAACAATTTACAAGCAATTTCATTGGAAACCATTGGCCTTCTTGCCTTCAACGCTATGAAATACAATAACTCTGCCAAGAATACGCAAAGCACCAGATTCTTTCTGATTGTGTTTGAGTTAGTTTGCGCTCCACGCAAAAACGCCAAACATAAATATGTAGCGAATAAAAGCGGCAAAGCAATCGAGAAGCAACTGTACGTTGAGATATTCTCCATTAAAGACGGCTCGGGAATGTATTCCAAATCCACTACATCAACGAGAACAGCGAAAGTTGATAGATGATTGCAAGTACAGTTTACCAATAGTGGATCATCAGAATCCAGATCAAACCAATCGCTGTCAAGTTCAGTGTGACATCCTACTCGAGACCATTCACCAAAACCTCGTGCGGTTGACCAGTGCACGCATTGTGGATTTGATCTTTCATTGAAAATCATCTTCTCTTGATCCAGCCAGATTTGCAATCTAATTGGAAGATCCAAGACCACGTTGCTTAAACTTTTGTACAGCAGTTTCTGATTGGAGCGTTTAAAACGTTCAGATCTCAGGTATGCATCATTTTCATGTTTGTCATCAGCGAATGATTTCTTATCAAATTCTTTAAAGTTCATTCCTGATGGTAGTAAGCCTTCTTCGAAAAACACCTTGGGCTGGTTTTTAGTCGATGGGGAAACGGCGTTCACATATTCAGGCACAAGTATGCTAACTGACATTAGTGGAGATCCGATTGTAATGTCCACACCCCAACGTCTAAGCACGGAATCATCATACAGCGCAGGGAAGAGTTCACCGGCTTGTTTATATTGCGCGTAACTGATAACAGCCCCATTTTCAGGGAGGCTGTGTTTAGTAATCAACTCTCCTGATTCTATGGGTTTAATACCAAGAAGTTTTAAGGGTACTAATATTTTGGATAACATATCAAATTTACTCCTATCTTGTAAATAATTGTTGTATTTTGGGAATGCTACCAGAGGTCCTGGTCCACTAGGTGTATTTTGATTTGTAACATCCAAAAATTGTGATGTATCTGGAAGTATAACTTTTTCCGTTGTAAAACTGCTATCAGAAGGTAAAATGATTTCCTGTTCGTATCCAAATAATGATTCTGGTGTGACAACATCCAAACCAATCGCTAAATTAGGTGACACCAACTCAAATGGACTGGTATATGTATCATGTTGACTATCTGACAATATATTGATGTACATTGCAAGTGAGGAAACGAGTAGCTCAGCACTACCATCACTTACGTCAGTGATGCGTTTCCAATGTGAATCGTACTTCTGATCCAATATGGCGCTTGCTGAATGCACAATGTTGTTGATATAATCTTTATCTTGACTGTGAGTTAAATTAAGTCCATGCATGCGATTTTCGTGTTTAAGTAACTCTTGAATCAGATCATACGTGATCAAAACATCAGCGCCATAAAGTGTTGGCGTAACATTAGTAGCTTTGTGTAAATCCGAAGCTAATTGGATAGCAACAAAAGTGTTTAAATTCAACTCGCCTTTTTCAATCATTGATAACTGATTTCTCAATTCGACAAATCGATCGGAAGTGCAATTGAACAAATCAGAGCTTGCCATCCGCCGAGTTGATTATCGCAAAGCCCGAGCTGCCTTCCATGACTTTCGCATACTTCAATTGCTTCAATTCCAAACGAAGTGAGGCCACCAAATCTCATTCGCTGCAATCTCTGGACAACCATCATAAACCACCTTCTGGCCCTCAATAACCAGCATACGGATTCGACACGCATCGCATTTTTGTCCGATAACACTTTCCCTGCATCGGCATTGGACCAGTTTCATGATCACAGCAATACGTAACCGAACGAAGTACAATGT